TGCTTGTTATTTGAGAATTAAGAAGGAAAGAAAACATCAGTTGGGCCATTTTACGGCTGTTCAAGGTCACTTGAGGCGAAAGTTGAAGCGAGAGACGTTGAAACTTGATGTTGAAACTTCAAGAGCTTTCGCCTACTTTATCCGTAAAAATGTTAAAATTATACTTCTGTACAGAGAAAGCAGGTTATTCGACTTTCCTTTGAGTGTTTAGGAATTGAAAAAAGAGGACATTTGATGAGTTATGTAGGTTTTGAAGAACTTTCTTCGCAATATGCTTTATACTTGTTTTCTCAAAAAATGTCAAATATGAAATGAAATGATATGAAATGTCAAGTCTTGAAGATGAAAAAAATGTTTTTTCTAAACATGTTTTTACTTTTTAAAGATCAAAAGTAATCTTTGTTATTCATATTTCTTTCCTGTTTTGTAAATAAAATATTGTTTTGTAAACCGATTTTTGACAAAAATAATCGAAAAACAAACGAGTTCTTCGCTTTGTGCATTTTTTCCAACACGTCTTTTTTCGGCCTACGGCCTCACGCAATTACGGAGTTTTTGAAAAACAAACTCGTGCAAATTAATTCCAAATTTAACTCGAAATCATCTTATTACCTATACAAATAAGCCTTTCCGATATTGAGGAAGGGTTTAGAAGGATCGAAGTTTAGAATGTTTAGGCAAATACTGACTGATTAGCAGGATTTACACGAATGGCGAATCTCAGGTCGCATTGCAATGTGGGATTTGATCCAAAGTTCAATCGGGCATCATTTACAAAGCCTTCAGTGAAACTTGTGTACTGATGTCTACCTAATGTATAGCGATACGCTTCCAATAGTTGCCGTCCGCCGTGACCTTCGTCACGCAACAAATGGAAAGCGCAGGTTGAGTTTAAGCAGTTAAAGAATGGAATTGTTAACTTTTAATATCAAAATCAAAAGTTTTAATATCAAAAGTTTGGAATTCGGTGTATAGGTGTACAGGTGTATTATATAACTAATATAATAACTAATAACTATATATAACTAATATATAACTTAATTTTCATTCGCATCTATTTATTATCCGTATATTTATGCATATATGCATTTTTATTTTTTGAAAATCTCTCACTCGTTCGCTGTACTCACTTGTGAGGCTGAGATTTTTTCAACACTCGAAGATAAATTTYGTATCTCCAAGCGCCCATGTAATATCCTCTATTTATTTAATATTAAATAATATTAGAAAAATGATCATTGCCATTGTCATTTTACTTGTAAAATCATTAGACTTATCAAAAAGTAAAAAGACGCCCTTGAAAACGTATTTTTTATTGTTATGATACCAATTTCTATTTCTTCGTTCTTGCAGGAAATGAAGTCTAAGAGTGCACTTGTTATTGGTGCTGGAGTGATTGGTGCTACAACAGCATACGAGCTACTTGAAAAAGGGTGAGACTTGTACCGCAATGAAAACAGTTCGGCTACTTGTTTTATGACTGACAAGTTCATCTACAGTTGTTAACATACGTTTAAGACGCGCAGCGGCTGTAAGGCGGCGAGAGGGAAAATATCCCAAAAAAGACTAGGTGTCTAGCATCTCTACCGGCATTGTCACACTTCAATCCCGTCGAATCTTACGGATTTTCAGACCGGTAGAGCTCTGACTCACTTATTTGACAGCCGAGTAGAGTGGATGTTTTTAAGTCGCGTTGTTGTAAGTAAACTAGACAAATGCAAGAAACGAGACAACAAACAGAACAGCAACAAATAGGCAACAAAACAAATAGGCCAGGTAATTAACTACAAGCAAAAGCAAAAACATCACACAAACTAAACAATCGACAGACGAGGCAACAAGCAAGGAAACAAACAAATAAACAATTAGAAAARCAAGAAAAGCAACTGAATTTCTTGTGAATTACACAAGTAAAGAAACACAGGAGGACTTAGTTTTTATATTTTCACTTAACAGGTATGATGTCACTCTTTTGGCAAAGCAGTTTGCTCAAGGTGACTACTCTGTAACTTCTGAGGTAGCTTCAGCACAGTGGGAGTTTCCACCAGGGATCTGTGGTCGTCATCGGCTGGTCGACTTTAATTTGGAAAATCCCAAGGTACGGTAGGCTGATTTAGTAAACTGCATATCATACAGTCTCGTATTCTGATCAAAACGTAAAGTGAATTTCTCAGACCTAGAGAAATAATATTTGATTGGTCTAAAATCACTGACAGGTTTGACGAGAAAAACGCACAAAAAACTAAGCGAGCAGAAAGATGACGCCACCGCATTCCATCTCGCTGGAATGGCATTTATAGCAGCTATCCATAATAGAAAGTGCTTTTCTTTTCTTCTAGTAAGGAATGTACGTACTACGGAACAATACGTACGAGTTGATTAAAATGCCCGGGGTTTTGGTTGAATAGCTGAATATTATAACGCACAACCGAGACTAAGGCTGAGCAAAGAGAGTGACCTGAAACTGGAGTATTTGCCGACTGTTATTCCACAATATTAATTTTAATTAATTTTAATTCATTTCGTCTGATGTAATGTATAAATTTACACCTGCCTAAAAGCGGATCTTCCAATGGGCACAGGGAGCCCAATTTAGATAAAACTGAAATGTGAAATTATAATCGGGAAAAAAATCTTCAATTATGATAACCATGAAACGAAAAAATCAAATTGAAATGCACTACATCGTTTCCTGTACACGAGTTTTTGTTTTCGACCTTACTACTCTCCCACTTAGAAACTTTGTCACATGTACACAACCCACCCCAGGGGCTAGTTTTGCTTTTGAAAAATTCTTCGACAAAGGTTTCCATGGCCGGACCGACATTTTTACGCTTTAAATTCCTGGTTAATTCTACTTAAAAAAAAAAACGAAAGATAACTACAGATAATCCAATGAAATATCAATTTTAGTGAAGTTTACCTTGAATGTCTTTCATCAAAATCCAAATTTTTGAGATTTCGGCGATCTTTTTTAAAAAAAAAAAAAATTGACACCATAAGACAGGCTTGAAAACTGGTTAAAAAAGCTGAGCAAAATAAAAGCTTAAGGCAAAGCTTACTTTTACATCAATTACATAACGATGTTTGGTTGTCCTGCATATGAAGAGTTTTATAAATGGTTTGGTAGCAAAAGAGAGAAAGTTAACTGGAGATTATTAATCTTAACTCACCAAACTACTCATCAAATTTGCGAGAACCTGAACGACAAAGCCAAATGTATCAGTTTGAAAAATKATTTTCTTATCATTATTCATTAACATATCGTATATTCCTGCCATATAAGCCGGTTTAACTATTCTTCGAGAAGCTTAAAAACTAAGCTTACTAGATTTTGAGATTCCATTTTACCAGTTTTAATCAGTTTTTATGTATGAACAGAAAGATGTGGAAATCAACGAAAAAAGTTTTTGAAAAAAAAAGTTTATATTCAGTTAAACTTAACAAAAACAACTGAGACATATCAATTAATGGGAATATGTATTCCTTTTTTATTTCATTCAATATTTAAATAAATTATAAATCTATAAATATATCAAGGGCGGATCCAGGGTGAGGGTCGGGGGGGTCGCGACCCCCCTGTCATTCCTGAGGTCAAATGGGCTTCTTGKGGTAAAAATGCGACTGGGATTCCTTTGCCCACAAAATTTACCCATGAGACCCCCCTTCAAAAAAACCCTGGATCCGCCCTTGTATATTAAAACTATTGAAGGAAAGTCTTCTTTAGTTTGTTGATAGAAGGCGAACGAAACTGCTTTTTCTTGTACTTAAAAACATACGATAGTTGTTTAAAATAAAAAGAATTCTTGAAGATTTATTAGGTAAATAATAATAATAATAATAATAATAATAATATTAATAAAGACTTTATTTAAAGAGGATATACACTTAATAATGTAAATACACTAACACACTTGTGGTCCTCTAAGTCATAATATGAATGGATGCTATGAAAATGTTTAAAAATAAATGCTAGTACTAATTAAACTACAATATAAAAAGCTAAAATATATACATACAAAAACACTTAGAATAAATTAGAATAAACAAAAAACAATGGATTAACTATGATTTAAAATGTGATAATGATAATTGCTCTTCATGAAATTTCTTAAATTTATTATTCTTAAAACTCTTAATTGTAGCCTTCTTTCTTAAATCTGGTGCCAATTCATTCCACAATTTAATTGCGAAGACTAAAAAAGTTTTCCCTCCCTCATTAATTCTTTTAAACTTAGGTAAAATAAAATTATGATTATAAATAAAGGGCGAATATTTGTTTGTAATATGTACTAGTTTTTATGTTTCATCCAGCATTAAAATAAATTAACCTTACCTATAGAAATATTAAAACTTTTGAGAAAAAATCTTCGATTTTTCAATAGACGACTTGCACTAAGAGGTCACGTGATCAAATCCGCCATTGTGGCTGGCATTCTACAGGTAAAAAAAGATGGCGGATTCGGGTAGTTTTTTTTTTTTGGTGATGAAAGGCAAGTTAGCGCACTAAATACCGATAAAAATCCCTTTTTCTTGCTAGAAATATATTTTCAGTAGATATCTAAAGTAGATTTTTGCTATCAACTTGCCAAGAAGAGAAAAAATATGGTATTTTTTGCGATACGATGTGAACAGCCTACGAAGTGTAGTAGCCTTGTTTCGCTCAATCTCGTACCCAGAGTCCTCCCGCGCCTTCCTATAGTCAGCATGGTAAGACTCCAGGTAAGACTCTGGGGGAATCGGATTTTTTACACATTTTGATTGGCTATCTTGGAACTATCTCGTTTTTCAGTGATAATTTTAAATAAAAATCGCTGAAAAGCCCAAAACAAATTTTAGACTACATACTTTAGACTATTAAACATCATAAGGAATTTAAAAGTCAACATATTTTACGTAAATAAGTAATCGGCGACAAATTTGTTGATGAAAACTCAACAGACAACGAACTTTTAAGTGAAATACACCAAAATTATCATTTTTAAACAGTTTTACAATTTCCTTAAGTTTAATAAAGTGTTATTTTCTATGACTTACAGCTAACAACAGCAAACTTTCAACTTGTCTGAATCTGACTCCAGCAAAGAAGCTATGAGTTTCTTTGTCGTTCATTCAGCTAAGAGTAATTTTACGATGCATCTCTCGCAATAAGTGACTTTGCATCTATATTTAATAATATTTCATTGTCAGTTGAATTTGAAGGTATTGTGAACAGGAGTTTGCAGGTTTCTAAGTTGAAAGTCGAAAGGATAGTTGAAAGTGTGTCTTCAATGGCCAGCTCACTTCAACTACTGCATGTAATCAGTGAAAACGACGAAGTCACGAAAAACTATCCACATTCAATGTAATTTTTCAAAGATCCTCATATATTCATGTTTCATTCCTAGATTTTTGATTATTTCTAAAGAAAGAACACGAAAACAGACAGAAGGCATCAGTATTTTCCAATTCCAGTTTTAACTTTTTGAACGACAGTAWTTTTTTGATTTTATGAGCTACTTTTCTTTGTCTTCTCGTTGTGCGTGCCATCTTTGCTTTGCATTATTTTTTTTTAGAAAGAAAGGTTCAACGGTTTAGTAAAAGTATTTTGAGAAACTATACTATAGCTAAAATCTTTCAAGAAGAAACTAAAACCCTGAGTAACTCAAACTTACATGACTTGTAGCGGCGCGTACAGGAAGACCTTCCAATACAGTTCTGGCGTTTGTCAATTTTACTTTTTGTTTTCCCGCCTCTTTTGTATCTCATGCCTTGCCAAATAATAAATGACTTATTAACCTTGTTGGCTCTGTCCATACTATAGGATATGGCTCCTATTATTTTCCACTTTTTAATTAAGTTTGTTTAGACTGTGTTTGCTCTAGTCGCTGATAGTTTTAAGAAAATACCTAGTATTTATAGAATGAGGCTGCAATGAACTATTTAGCGGAATCCTACATACCGGAACCCCAGAAATCTGAGGTAAAAATAAAATGATTCCCGCCAGAGTCTTACCAGTCGCTGTCCCAGGTAATGATGACAGGAAGGCGCCGAAAGACTCTGGGTAAGAAAAACATACGATATTTTTCCTCTTCCTGGCGAATGAATAGAAAAAATCTACTTGAAATATCTATTRAGAGCATTTTTCTTGCAACAAAAATGCATTTTTCAAGAATGAAGTTGAAAAATACTTGAAACGTTTCAATAAGAATTCGTTGTTTTGAGGGCATGAAGCCGGCAAAACGAGACTAAACACTTCGTAGGTCTTCCCATGGTATCCCAAAATACACCATATTTTTTCTCTTCTTGGCTCTAGTTAATAGCAAAAATCTACTTTAGATATCTACTGAAAATATATTTCTAGCAAGAAAAAGGGATTTTATCGGTATTTAGTGCGCTAACTTACCTTTTATCAC